CGGAGAGCGATGGTTGGGTCACGCCTGGGGGGGGGGGTCAATCCTCTGCACAGAGACCATTATAGTAATATTATTAATAATTGTATTTTGTTACATCTTTTTTACCTTCCAACAGAACTGTTTGTTGGCCAATTGAAGAGCTCACTTACATGCAGTGAATGCGGATATTGTTCTACGGTATATGACCCATTCTGGGACTTGTCACTACCCATTGCTAAGGTAAAACATTTCAGCAATGACTGGATTCAATGTTTTGGGTTTTGTATAGAAAGGGGCAATGTTACACACAGGCATTCTTATTCATGTACTGTAGTAAGAGTAATAGTCATTTTTCCAAGTGATGTAAGACTGCCTTGAAGAGACAGCTTATTTTGGAGTGCCTGCTATGTAGAGAAATTGCCCTGGGGTGCCTGCCATGTGGAGAGATTGCCTTGGGCTGCCTGCCATGTGGAGAGATTGCCTTGGGCTGCCTGCCATGTGGAGAGAGTGCCTTGGGGTGCCTGTTATTTGGAGAGATTGCCCTGGGGTGCCTGCTATTTGGAGATGTTGCTCCAGGGGGCCTGACATGTGGATAAAGACTTTCCTAGAGAATGAAAGAGATTGTCCTGGAATATCCGCCTTTGGAGAGATAGTCCACTTGAATGCCTGTTATGTGGTAAGAGACTGCTATGGAGACAGTGAGAGTGGACTGCTCTAGAGATTGTTGTAGAGACAGAGAGACTGACTAGGGTTGCCTGCATTGCGGAAAGAGCCTGCTCTGGATAGAGGGAGATAGAGAGATTGTCTTAGAGTGTCTGCCATCTAGAGAGACTATCCTAAAATAGAGCCTACTATAGAGTGTTTGCCTTCAGGATAGACTGCCTACCATGTAAATAGAGCCAACCCTGAAGTGCTTGCTATATATATTGAAAGAAACTGGCCTAGAGCATCTGTCAGGTGGAAAAAGATTGCCCTAGAAAAAAGAGGTTTGCTTGGCGGAGATAGAGAAGTTTCTGTTCAGTGGAGAAAGTGTTTTAAGGCAGGTGCAGCTGTGAAGTAAAGCATCCGATTCTTCAAACTGAGACTGATTGTGGACATCGCATGCAACACCTTAAAGTAACACATTACAATACCCCACGTGGGACATACATAACCTAATTTCTGCTATCAGCCCCAGTTGGGAGAGGAAAAGGATGCTTCACTGCATAACTCTTCAGGTTGAGTCACCTCCCAATACCCTGCCATGCAGAGCACCGACTGTCCCCAGGCTCCATACCTGCTTTGTGGGCATCTGTAGCTATACTGTAGCTACATCCTTGCCAACTGCAAAGCAAGATAAGTTAATATAAAACTGCTTAAAATTAAAGATAACTGTGTTGCTCATAGCAGCTTGTCAGATTCTAGCTCCAATAATAACAAACACCTACTGTCATATAGCCATCACCTATAGCGCTGTAGCTTATAAATGAGACCACTTGTGATTCATGTTAGTAATTACATACATGTCTTTTATACAGAAGAGCGTTTCAGATGTGTCTTTAATGGAATGCATTCGTCTTTTTACCAAGGAAGATGTTTTAGATGGGGATGAAAAACCAGTAAGTTTTATTTTAAAAGAATACCTCACCTCTTCCGTAAGCAAATGTGTAACTAATCAGAATGTATTTTTCACCAGTCTTATTTGAGTACTGAAATATTTTTTTTTGCTGTAAATTGCTACATATCATCATTACTCTATTCACTGTCTTTTTAATTGTACTCATATGTCAGCCAAATGACAAGGATTTCAATTAGAGTACCACCGTACTGGAAAATTAGTAAAGCAAGTTTACATTCATTTAGTGGAAGTAGAAAAGCAATAGCACTATAATATTATGATCTCTTTATGTAAATATTTTTGGAGACAGTATGAAGACCCTAGTTATTAACTAGCATTTAAAGAGACTCTGTCACTGGGAAGGGTTGGGAGAGGGGGAGGTACTGCTGCAGATATGCAGTTAAGGCAACTAGAGGTACACATATCTGCAGCAGCCTCCCAAACCTACCTGTCACAGCAGAATCTAAGGCCACTATGGCTGATAAAGCTATAGCATTTTTCTGCCCCTTCCTCCTTTTGCAGATTTCTATTGCCCAGGGATGCTGCTTATCATAGTGGTATGCTAATAGGAATCGGGAAGGGGATTAGTAGCAAACTATGACACCACCAGAAGTGTTGAAGCTTTGACAGAAGTGTTTTGGAGGTGGCAAGTATACCTCCAAGTTCCTGCACTTTATATCTGCAGCAATTTTTGCCCTATTTAGCTTCATATATCTAGGCAATGAATGAAAATAAGTAGAACGTGGGACCTGTAGGAAATACTGTACTGGCCCAGTGTAACTGTCAAACAAGTTTTTTTCGACAGTCTGTATTTAATATATTCAGTATTCCCTCTTTTTTTTTTTTACTGAAGTGACCACAATGAGATCATCACAGCTTTTATATATGCACCTTAAAAGAGGTCCATGCCTTCTCACTTGAGTACTTTGTAGTACTTCCTTTACCAAAGTTATATTACAAGTAGGGCTGTGCAAATTAACGATTAATTTCTCGATTAATCGTTAATCTTTTTGATCGATAACATTTTTTTTGATCGATTACATTTTTTTTTAAACTTTCTGCACGAGCGCCAGCCAAGACATTGGCCTATACACATACAGCACAGCAATGAAGTAATAAAATGAACTAGGATCACACTAATCCAGCACGTTATTATTCTGAGTTGCCCCACTCAAGCGGCGGCCATATTGAGTGGGGCACGTGAGATTAATAACGTGCTGGATTAGTGTGATCCTAGTTCATTGTATTACTTCATTACTGTGCTGTATGTGTATAGGCCAATGTAGTTGGATCTGTATGTGCGTTATAATTAATCAAAATTAATCGATTAAAAAAATTTAGATTAATCGAACACGAAAAATTTTAATCAGTAACAGCCCTAATTACAAGGAATAATGGTCAAAGATACAAAATCTAATAAGATGCATGCATTGTACAGTGTTTGGCTCAGGGTAGATGACACTGCAGTGTATTAATAAAATTATGATTACAGAGGACAGAAATCTGACCATGGTAACAGTATTTGTTGAGCCTTGGGAATTGCGGTCCACATCTTTTACCCACAGCAATTAATGTCATGACTGTGGTTATTCCTGCCGAAGAATGTACCGTATTTTTCGCTCCATAAGACGCACTTTTTTCCCCCCAAAAGGAGGGGGAAAAAATGCCTGCGTCTTATGGAGCGAATCCCGACGCCCGAGACATGCAGTTTCGGGCGCCGGGCGAGTAGTAGGAGCCACTGCTCGTTTAATACGAGTGATCTAACGAGATCACTCGTATTAAAGCCGAGCAGCGGCGGCGGCGATCGAGTTCAGCAGCAGGAGCCACTGCTCGTTTAATACGAGTGATCTAATAAGATCACTCGTATTAAAACCGAGCAGCAGCGACGATCGAGATAACCATAGAGCAGACGAAGAATAGACGTTCTTTGCCTGCTCTGTGTCATCACTGAGACCGTGGCGCTGTAATCACAGCGCCACCTGTCTCAGCGGTCACTAACTGCAGCTTCTGTCACAGCTTCTGTCATAGAAGCTGTGACAGAAGCTACAGTCTCGAGTGCTCCATAAGGCGCGCCGGACCTCCCTGCGTCCTATGGTCCGGTGCGTCTTATGGACCGCAAAATACGGTAGTTGGGCCAGTACCCTCATATGTGCAATTATATACATTAGCTAAAGACTCAGACATATTTGCTGGTAGCTGTGCACAGAGTAAAAAACAAAAGTGCTTTACATTTAACTGTAAGACAAAGTTGTTGTTTTTTGCTTTACATTTAGTACATAATTACTGCCAATGCTGAGTTGCAGAATTTCAGTTCAAACAAATTGTGTCTTTCTATAACATTGTTTTTATATTCTTAATCAGACATGCTGTAGATGTAAAGTTCGTAGAAAATGTATCAAGAAATTCACCATCCAGAAATTTCCAAAGATCCTTGTACTACGTATCCTTCCATGGAGCTACTGTTTGACTGTTTGTTGTATCACTGTTATATAGCAACCATAAGCTAATATCAGATGAAATTACCAAATTCTTTTTTTTCCTCCTAGAGCATCATTTATAAATATTTTAAAACTGTCTGTGTTGTCAGCAACCATCGCTGAGATTTCAGATTCCAGCTTTCATTTGAATATGATTATTGTCTTAAAGCAGGGGTCTCAAACTCAATTTACTCAGGGGCCACTGGACACATTTTTTAGTCCCGTGGGGGCCGCTTGCCAAATTTCATGCTTCAAAATAACATTTAACTATATACGGTACCAGTATTAATATCTGCGCATGTTACAAGCATTTACAAGCGGCAGCTGTCACCCATTCAAGTTAATGATCAGGTGACGGCCGCTGCATGTAAACACCTGCACACCACATGTAATGGTATGTGATATGATTACATGCAGTTGGAAATCAATCACTCTCCCTGGATACACAACTGTGCTTGTAAACGCCAGATTATTGATTCCTGCTGCAGGAAAAAGCAAATTCCTGACACAGGAATCCCTAATCGCACCTGAAATATAAGTGATTGGGGACTATTATACACACACAGAAAAATACAAACAAAACCCTTTCCAAATGTCACTTTATTAACCCTACATTATAAAAAAATTATCTGGGTACATATCCCCAATAACAACCATCATTTTTAGTACCTCATACCATATATTCTCATGGAACCATATTTATAGACAATATAGACAAAAAGCTATCTGGGATAGGAGTGTCAGCAACACATATCCCGCATAAATAATTTGTAGGTTTAACACTCAGGTATATATTACCTCTCACCAAGATATCAGCCTTCTGGCACTAGCCTTCACTGGCATTGGCATCGTTCAGGTTCAGCATCTACTTCTATGTTAAGATGCCAGCCCGGGGATAAAATAATTATGCAAACCCCACTACCTGGACCCTAGTATTTATTTGTTTATTTTCATGTTGTCTCATGCGGCTCAGCAACACTCTCTCCACCATAACTGATGCTTTTTACCTTCTAAGGGGCCAGAAACTTAAGCTGAGTACACATGGTTATATTTTTTTTCATTCAGCATATGGGCTGAATGGAAAAAAAAATATGACAGATTCCTACATTCATGCTAAATAGTGTGCATTGTATTTTAACAGCAGTATCAGATTTAGAAAAAAATTAAATATGTGCATCCAGGAACAGATGAGATATTCTGATTACATCTAAACGCATGTAAATGCATAGACATTTTGCATATAAAGCAAGTGTAGATTTTGCATATGAAGGCAAAATAAACACTATACTTCCCCAGATCAATTTTTGCTACATTTAAATAAAACTAACGCAGGAAGCCAATGTGAATCTGAGTCCTTAGGGTTACCTTAAGGGAAGCTACTAACTTCTATGTGTTATATCTTTCTTATCCTGTAGTTATGCCATAGTTATGTCATATTCAGAAGCTGCAGTTTCTCTTCCTTAACCCTAAAATTCTACAGATCTTAAGCGGTTTTCTGAAGGTCGCATAAGAAGTAGCAAGCTTTCCACATTTGTGAATTTCCCTCTTCGAGACTTAGACTTGCGGGAATTCTCTGCAGAGCACAGCAGTAAGTTTTTTTTCTTAATCGTATATTCTTTCTACTTCCTACTGTATAGACAGTATCTTCCTTTCTCTGTTAAGGGGATCCTATCACCTTGGGCCGTCAGGGTAAAGTGACAGGGCCTCTGTAAAGTCCACCCCCTGTCCACTTTCTACTCATTTCTTTCGCACTCCCCAATACTCCTCTTGTGTGGCTGCCGCTACAAAATACCCAGTGTAGTGACTTCCTCCCATGATGCATTACTGGGGCCTAGAAGACAATTGCTATGCCCGAGAACTATCACGTAATTGAAAGGGGGTGATCGCGATCTTTAGGGGAGCACTAGAGAGGTGAATATAAAGTGGTCAGGGGTGAGCTTTATACAGTACATACAGTATAATGTCACTTTGTGCTGAATAGGCAAGGTGAAGGGTCTCATTAAGGCAAGGGGAGGATATAATCTAAGGTGACACCTTTCTGAGGATGGTACAGGCTGACATTCTCATTTTTCTTCCATATCCTCATCTGCTATTTTGTCTCAAAACTTTTGTATGGGGAAGTAATTAAAAATCTGTTCCATTGATGATTTGTAGGTTTTAGATCCAACACTCTGCCTGGCAAAGTAGTAAATCTGCTAAATTTGTTATTATACCATTTAAGGTTTTGTTTTTTGTGAAAGAGTATGCTGTTGGTGCTGCAAGGTCTATTAGACACAATGGTTAATAACAGCCCAGGCCCACCAGCCTTACCACTCAAGAAAGATTCAAAATCAAAAAAGGTGCAAAATATATACAGTGTATTAATTCACAATATATTTTTGTTGCACCATCATGGAGTGTTGAAACATAAATAGGCAGTGCCCCAAAAATACAAACATGCAATTTCCAAGCAAATGCTTTGTAAAGACCTGGGAAGATTTTTTTTTAAGTTGTGGATAGCGTTAGACCCACTGTCAAGTTTTTATTGCTGCCTCTGTCCCTGTTGAGGCGATTCAACCAGTCTATTTGTCCTGGTGACCATTGTCATCAAAGCTGAAAGTGGAGAAGTCCAAAACTGTAGAGTTGTTGCCAAAGCAAGGGTTGAGGGTAAATCATCCAATAGGGACACCCATTGCAGTGGTAACTGTCTAAAATGGAAATTCCCCTGACTTTGGAAATATTTCCTGTTACATCATGAGGACAGGAAGTGAAGGAAACTAACCCCACCAGATACAGAAAGCAAAACATAATCTTACAGTGGTATAAACCCTTCCTTATTCTAACAAAAAGAAACACCTGACCAAGTAAGGTATGAACACTATACCTTACTTGGTCGCCCCTATTCTTACACATATTGGGCATTGAAGGGAGGTGCATTTTCCCCTTTCATCTCCCTACAGGGATTGAGATGGTTGAAACCTTCATGCTTTAGACATTCAGGTACTTCAGGGTTCTGGGATCACAGAGAGACATAATAGTGCCCTGCACGTAAGATGCTGCCTGTCTGATACCCACTCATTTTGCATATTTGGGACATGATCAAGAAGGGTATTGGCTACTATAGACCACTGATGGATTAAGTAGAATTGTCCTTGATGTTCATTTTTGTATTCTAGTTTGTACTCCATTGCTAACAGAGATAAGTACAGAACTCAAAGTCATATTATATGTTTCTGTTGAATACAAACATGCATGTTGATGAAAATATTGGGAGAGAAATCAGGGCTTTCACCTACTAGATTTTTAGTACCAGCAACCGTTCGGATGTATCAGTAGCTTTATACTTTTATCTCCTCTGTACTAGGGCTGCAGCTAACGATTATTGTCATAATCAATTAGTTGCCTGATAATTTTTTCAACTAATTGATTGATCACATTTAAAAAAATCTCTCCCCCCCCAAACATCTAACCGATAATGAGAATAGTTGCCAACTATTCTCATGATTGATTATTATCGATTAAATCGATTAGTTGTTGCAGCCCTACTCTGCACTAATAATCTTACTATTATCATTTTGCTAGATTTTTTCACATTTACTTTGTTTCTGATGTTGTAGTTGATACTTTCAAATATAAGCTTGTTACATTTTATTTTTGCAGCTCAAGCTACATATAATCTTTATGCTGTGTCCAATCATTCGGGCACTACCATGGGAGGTCATTATACTGCTTACTGCAAGAATACAAACAATGGAGAGTGGCACACATTTAATGACTCAAGGTAATGATCAAGGTGTAAACCATCTTCTCTTTTCAACTTACTTCTTCATTTTTTATTTAAAAAACACTCAAAGAAGACTATTTATAATAGATGGCAAATAATTAGAAGACCCTGACTGGCTCCTAGAGTTGGCCTTTCCTCTCCCAATCTAAGCTATGCTGCACATCGAAAAACAAGTAGTTGATGTCGACAAATATAGCTATTTAAATTATATACATCTGAGCTGTTTTCTAATTTATTGGTCATATTTATAAAGTGAGTGAATCTGACATTCACCAAACATTTATGCAGGTAAATCTTTCCAGTGCATGTGTTTTTCATGATCGTCATTGATTCACCAGTGAATGTTTGCTGAAAGTTACATTCACTGCTTTATAAGTATTAGGGATGCACCGATACTAGTATCGGTGTTGATACCGAGTATTTGGGCAAGTACTCGTGCTCGTCAAAATGCTCTGATACCTTCCCCGATACCGGAACTTCCGGTCAGAGGAAGATTTCCTCTGACTGGCAGTGCCATTGGGGAACATGGACCCGGCTTCCTGGGCCATCAGGAAACTGGGTGGCGAGTAAGACCCACCTCCCGGCTTCCTGATGGCCCAGGAAGCCAGCTCCATGCTGACTGGCTGGAAGCCGGCTTTCTGGCCAATCAGCATCGAACAGCTGGCTCCTTGTTGATTGGCTGGGAAGCCAGTTTCCCGGCCAATTAGCATTGAGCCGGACATACAGCCAGCTCGATGCTGATTGGCTGGGCAGCAGAATTTCGAGCCAGTCAGCATGGAGCCAGCTTCCCGGCCAATCAGAAAGTCGGGAGGCGGGTCATTACTTGCCGTCCACCTTCCTGATTGGCTGGGAAGCCAGTTTCCCTGCCAATCACAATTGAGCCGGCCAAACAACATGGAGCCAGCTTCCCGGGCAATCAGGAAGCTGGGCAGCATGTCATTACCTGCCACCCAGCTTCCTTATTGCCCGGGAAGCCGGCTCCATGCCAGCGGAAGCACTGATATCGGTACTCGGTATCGGCGAGTACAGAAAGCAAAAAATCGATAGCAAAAAAACAGTTTCGGTGCATCCCTAATATGTATATATGTGCACACAGAAATTCTCTCATAAAGTAAGAAAATACTCTGTATTGCAACATTCTATACATGCAGTTAACAGTTTTTTCATTTCTGTTTTAGGGTTACAGCAATGTCTTCCAGCCAGGTGAGGAGTAGTGATGCCTATGTGTTATTCTATGAGCTATCAGGACCTTCGTCCAGGATGTAAACTTCAAACCACTAACAAATGCAGTGAAGATGCAATTGGATCAGCTGTGAAAACTCTCCAGTTGGGACATAAGAACCTTCAGTTATGCCACATTGAGTTAAAATAATTATTTTTTAAATACACCAGCATTTCATACAGTCACTAGTTGCCTTAAGTCATTATCCAAAGAACTGTGGCCTTGAACTGAATACAAAATACCAGTGGATTGGGTAGTAGAGCAGGACATACTGAAACATTCTAAGAAAACCAGCTGTGTTCTTCAGTATTCAATGATTCATCTATACCCATGTCTTTATAACCAGTAGGAACCTAAAGGAACCATTATGAGGAACCCTCAGCTGTTTTTGCACAATACTGAAAATCCGGGTATGTTTGCTGCTGCTCTTACCATTTGAGTGTTATGGCAGAAGGAATCTTAAGACATGTTTCGGGAAAGTCCTTCTTTTTGAAGTCATACTGAAAACTGCTCTCAGGAAAGAATCTCATTTGTCCTTATGCAAGAACGGCATCATGTTACGACGAAATGTTTTTATGTATTTTGTTTGTTGCTGTCAAAAAACATCTCAGTTACTAGGTTGGCCTGCTAAATAAGATGGCCCATTGTATGAAGAATTGTAACATAGAGAGTATTATTTGAAGTGAAAAAGAGCAACACATTTGTACACATAGCAAGATAGTCACCACTGTATATAATTTGGAGTGATGTGTGTTTCTATTATTTAATGTCTTGGTAGGAGGTAGTGTTAAAATGATAGAATATTAAATCCAGTATGCTGCTTTCTTGGACAAGAGTAATCACTCAGAATTTCACTCAAGAACAGGATGTCTGACAATACAAAGGCTTCTTGTCATATGTTTCGGGGGCCACAAGAATGAAATCTTTGCACTGCTATGTTTTTATTGCTTGAGAGGTGTGCGGTGATCACAGCAGTATTAAGAAGATGTACTGAAGGACTTAGTATATTTAGCAGTTTTTTACTTTTATAATTGTTTTTATTATTAATATTATGCAGATACCAAAGCTAGTGCAGTGAAGCATGCAGTCATAATTTATTTGGAAGTATATGAAAACTGCAGCTATATTAAAGCTAAATTGCAGTCAAACTTTTTTCTTAGTTATGGATAGAGTGGAGATAGCCTATATCCTCTTTTAGATTTAAATGCTGTCTGCAACCCTTAGAGCTGAACTCCAGCCTTACCTTTTTTTCCCAGACTTGTAGCAAGTATTTTGCTCTGTGGAAACTGATTACTTTCTATTCCCTGTAAACTTGCATGTCTGCAATATAACCCTTTAAATTTGCACCAGCTGTCATGAGCCTACCGTCATTGCCTGTCTTCATGACCTCCATCATTCTTCAATCACCTGATCTGTACTGTCATTTGCTCCCCTCTCACAGATATTGGCTTTCTCTGCCATTAATTAATTTTTCCCTGAACTTCTATATAAAAGAACACATCACGGACATATCTTTAGATGTGCTAAAGTCTAAAGCACCCAGTGGCCAGCAGAGAGAAGCAGCACATCTAAAGGAATCCTAGGGATGTGTTTTTTCATATGATTCTATGAAATATATCAGAGGTAGAATGCTGTAACATCCTACCAAACTTGGAGCAAAGAGCAGCAGACAGACCCAGTGGTATCATCACTGGGTATCAAAACAGGTATTTATTGAAAAACAAAGTGTTTGGATTGAAAATGTTAATTGCATGTTGATCAAGGGAGGGTATTATATGCATACACTACACTTCGGCTTTAAGGAGATTTCCCCTTACTTCCTGTTCTGCCTTACATCCGGTCACCTTGACTGAAAGAAACCTTCCCAGTGGGGACACATATGCCAGTAAAAATCTATCAGAGTTTCTAGCCCTTCCAAAAACATTGTGGCTGGAGTTAAGCTGTATGTATCTGCTGAATAACAAGAGTTAAAAGGACTGTTTACTTTTTTAAGTTTTCATAATGTTCTTTGGTAGTGCACAGCAGACCTCTAGGTAACAGCACTATGCATTGGAGGATGGACACTAAGGAAAATTGTATAACACTATTTCCTTTCGAGAGGAGGCATAAGCCTCGGTTTCAGCTTAGTGTCCTAGGGGTTTGACCACTGGTCTACCTTTTGCTATGAAGATAATGAGGATATTTCTTAGGAAGTTTCTACTTCTTGACTCACCAAAGAGGTATCCCTATTCTGGCTCCTATGCAGCATTACACCACACCAACAGACCTGGAAGCTTACCTATTAGATGTTTTGATAACATCGGCTGCCTGGAGCCTGCTTCAGAGATGAGGTGGCCATGTTCTTCCTATTGGTCTGAAGTGTCCCACTTATACTATTCTTATTGTTTGCTTCCCTTGTCAGCATTCTCTCTCCGTACCTGTTTCATCTGAGTGCCTTTCTTCTTCTCTTCCCTACTTCCCACTTTGCTGGTGCAATGGACTTTGTTCTTCACTCCTCTGGCCAAATATTGGCAATTCACCCAGTATGTAGTAAACTGGTAAAATGGTCCAAAGTGCTCCAAGGACTCCACTTTTGGCAGTGTTACTAAAATCCAGTTTTATTTCACCTCTTGAGATTGCATGTTTGTTGTTGAGGGCCATGTATGTATACTATGCAAGTATGTGATGTGATTGGTTGTATGTTTAGCTGTTTAATTTATTACTGACTTGTTGCTGAACTAGTCACACCTGCTGCACACCTCTTAAGCATTGAACATGTTCTGTCTTCCCCTAGACCCCTTTCAGGCCACACTAAGCTGGTGCTTACCGTGTAAGTGTGTAGAATATGAAACAAGAGTAGCCTAAGGACCCTATGTGTTATATGCAAATGTAAATATCCTAATTAAACTCCACATTACAAGAAGAGCTGTCTCCTGTGTTTATTAGTGTATGGATCTCAGTTAAGTTCCTCAACCATATCTTTACTTATACAGTATATACTTTAATGCTGATTTTGCTAGCTATTTCAGTTTTTTTAATAAAAGCTCAGTCTGCCTTTGTTTCTGGTTTTGCCTTCCCTCACCTGCAGTTTGACAGACGGTCTCACTCTGTCAATAGTCACTGTCAGCTACTCACTCATCTGGAAGGTTGATCTGCCATTTATACCGCATGTTGGCTCTGTGTATGAAGAGTGCTGACAGTGGCTTGCAATACGCGGAGCAGGGCTGGCTGTCTAACTCCGGAGCCCTGCAGAGCCGATAGCATGAAGGCACCTCACTGAAGCATCAATACATAGAGTTATGTGCAGTTGTTAGCTGGGGACATGATCATTTTCACATCCAGTTTGTTCAGTTCATAAATATAACTTTCTAAACTGGTGTGGAATTATTTTTACATTAAAGGAACATCACAAGGCCCCATAGCAAAATGTTGTATGGGGCCCTGTGATTTCTAGTAACGCCCCTTGCAGAGCCCACCTGAGATCCCAAACAGCCCACTTGAGAGTAACCCTGCAGAGCCCACCAAAGACTTTCTATGGTGGGCTCTGCAGGGTCTCAGGTGGGCTGGTCACACCCCTGTACACCTCTTACCTGTCAGCCTCCTCCACCGCAGGGCCCCGCCTCCCCCTCCTCCATGGTTGCTGGCGGGCCTTGCCTCCTCCGCTGCCTACGCCGGGCCCAGATTCCTCCTCCGCATCTGCTGGCTGTCACTGACTCAGCAGCGGCTGTGAGGAGGAACACGTCGCTGCACAGATCACTGACAGGTTGTCAATGATCTGAACATGATCTGAACAGCGACACATTCCTCCTCACAGCCGTCAGTGACAGCCAGCAGCCTGAGATGCACGGCATTAGGGGGATGTCCCCTGTAAGAACTGATATCAAAATGCACAAACCCAGCAGATCTGTACAATAGTTTATTGCACGCATTAGGCTTTTGTGAAATCATGTTATGTGTTTCAGATTAAAATGTTATAGGAAAAAAGTGTATTTTACTAAGCATGCATTGCAATCCACAAACCTAAGTTGTATTCCTACAATGTCACACATTGAGGAACACTGCTCTGGCAAAAAAATCTATATCTAACAAAGATTGTAAGCTCATTGGGGGCAAGGACATATGTGAATAAATAGTGTGTAAAGAGCTGCGTATATTGACAGTGCTATAGAAATAAATGTTAAGGCCAATCATTTTTTAGCTTGTTAATGGAAAAATCCTCCACAGAATCTTCATTAGATGGAAGAATCCAAAAACATGCACTTTGCAAAACTGTCCTGCAAAAGCTGCAGCGCGTTCTAAATGCAAAAAAGAGCAATTACAAAGATGTGTTTCTCCAAAAATATGAAGGATATTTGTGCAGCACTTATTCAACAGACTTTTCAAGTGATATGGTTACCCCGACCATCACCACCACCATGCCCCCGTCTAGCAAATAATATATCTTTATACATGCAAGCTTGGTGAAGTTTAAAAAAAAAAACTAACATAGGAAAAATTGCCAAGCACATGAAATTCAAACTAGACACAGAGGCCCAAGTAAATATGAAACATAAGAATGTATCTCAACAGAGAAGCCTTTCGTTGCCCCCTAGTGTTCACCACTGAATGTTACAATAAACATTGATCCTCCAGCATAGGTTACGTCTACCATAATGTTCAAATATATTGAGCATGCTCGTTCTTTATGACAAGAACTCCTCCAGCTGGCATAACATTCTGCTTTTGGTTTATTAAGGAAAGATTACAAATTAGATGCCATTTAATCAGACCGTCCAAAATATATCAGACTGGTTGTTCAACAAGAGTTTTGGTTTAACCCCTTCGTGACTGACGACGTACAGTGTACGTCGCCAGCATCGGGGCTGTTTAAACAGACTCCCGGTGACTTTTGCCGCCGGGACTCTGTTTAAACTTGTAGAGCCGACTGTCGGCTTTACAACAGAAGCGATCCTGGTGACTTACCTGTCGCCAGAATAAGGATTTCTTTATTGGAAAAACACATTGGAAAAACCAATAAACATCAGTGTAACATCTTTAAGGGCCCATTCACACCAATTGTGGTGCGTTTCAGAGCGGTAGCTGCTGGATCGCACAGCACTTGCTCACTAAACTTCCCCTTCATTCTGGGTCGGGAGGGGGCGTGGCGGTGCATTAAAATCAATGGCACCACAGCCACACACCTCAGCTCGCAGTGCGATCAGACGCGTGGCAAAAAATTGCCTGCGTTCTGTTCCACTGGGAACGCGAAAAAA